GTCGAACTTGAAGGTCGACCCATCCTTAAGACCTCTGAAAAAGTCAGTGTAGGCTACCTTATCCGGCAGCCCTTGTATTTGAATCCTCATCAGGTTAAACCGCCTGATGTAGGAACGGAGTCCCTCCTTCTCACCCTGCTGAATGGTCCCTAAGTCAAGGGTCGTCTTTTTAGCAGGAATGTTCATAGAAAAATTGGAGGTGAACAAGTAGGCAAGTGTCTTAAAATTATTCACACAACCAGTCGGCAGGTTGTCGAACCATTGTTGTGCAATTCCCTTCAGAGTGGCTGGGAAGCACTTGCACCAAGTGGGATCATCCAACCCTTGGAGGTACATTAGGTTGGTGAACGCCATTAGATGATTTTCTGGGTTAGTAGTGCCATCATAGGCGCCTACTAACACATTCTTCACTATGGCCGGCTAGACGGCCTCAATAATTTCCTTGGAGAAGGCGGACGGCTGTTCTCCAAGTCTGAGCAACCGTAGTTGCCAGTCCAATGGTTGGACGTTCCTTGCCACCTGCCCTCCAAACAAAGGAGGCTGCAAGAAGTATTGTTGTTGTGGTACGTATGGTACATTCGGTACCGACTGATCTTTATGAGGTCCGAACCGATGGCAGGTACCGCCTCTCTGACTCTCATAATTGGATTGAGTATACCTCATAGAGGTATTATGCAAACTATCTTGAAAATCTGAAGTAGAGGCCGACTCTAACAGTCGGTCACTCTTCTTCTGCTCTAGCATCAACCGAGCATCAGTGTACATTTTCTTCGTCCCATCCGCTTGAACATGACGAATCAGCTTTCTCCTCCCAGTTGACGGGAAGTGAAACTTCGTCCAATCAATCTCCGGTGGCCGACTAGCCCTAAGTTTTGGGTGAGGGGTTGCCGCACGATCAGTGACTGACTTCATCCTACCATAGTGGGAGGATTTTTTAGCCGACTGTTCCTTTGCAGGAACAGGCGTCCTCTTCTTAATCAACTCTTGGATTTCTCCCTTGAACCCCCTCATGAAAGTCATGAGTTCGTTCCTTGTAATGGGAGCAGATCCTTCAGCCGCCTGTTGTTGCTCAGGCGGTGGTCCGGTTAGATTGCTGGGTCCAGCTTGGCAACCTACCCGTTCCCTCCTTTCGGTGTGACGGGTGCGTCAGGCCCTTAGGGTCCCATCTGAGGCCGTGTGTGTTTTAACCTCGACCTCATTTTCAGTATCTTGGTCTGAGTAGACTTGAGGGTCGTCCACTGGACGCCTCTCTTCTGAATTCGGTACAGACTATGATGCCATCTCGAAAGTACTCTCCCCACAGACGGCGCCAAAATGTTTCGGGGTTTTTTTATGTCCTGCGGGAGAGTTACAATTCCGGGACTAGTATCCTTGCGCCTGTACCTGCAAAACAACGGAGACTCCTTGTGGTGGGAGTTCCGCCTCCGACGATCAAGTTAGAACGTGTATGAGGAGTGAATAGTGCGGAAAAGTAAAGGTTGGGAGATCTGGTTCCTCTAAGCGAGGGATGATCTAAGTGTTTAGGTGAGTGTAGTTAATGTTCTCTAGGTGAGAGTAATTAATTGATGAATCCCCTTTAATGAGGATTAATGAAGGTATTTATATGCCTTGGGATGCGTGCCAAATACTAGGTTTAGATTAACCTAGGGCTGACTGGGCTTCCACAAGACTTTGGGCCTAGGTGGCCAGTTTTCCCATTTGGCATGGGGGAGGCCACATGTCGTAGCATAAGAGGTCCAAGGTGGACTAGTCAATACTTGACACGTAGCAGGTTCCAATTGGTCCATGTGGCGGACACTTGGCAGAGGCTGAATGGTCCACTTGTCAAGTGATGATTGGTGGAAAAAAATCCCCTAATCAATTTGTATTTCTTATCATAAATACTATCAAAATTTTTATTATATGATAGGTTTCAAACTTTATTATAAGCGTTTATCATTTAAATATTTTTTAGTATATTTTTTTTGGATTTTTTATACTCGTAGTATTGAATTAATAAATTTATCTTTTCCTATAATTTTACTTTATTTTTTTCATTAAAATAATTTAATTCGTGGATTATAATCTACGTGGCATTAAAATTTTAGATATATGAAATCTAATTCGTTACTTTTATCTAGGTGGCGATGCACGGTTTTTTTTCATACATAAATCTCAAGAAAAGATATTTTCCTATAGACTCTAAGTTTATTCGATTTATTTTACTATTTAATAATTTTAGACGAAAAAAACACATAAAAATTTAATTAAAGTGTTATTGCCTATTACAAAAGTATAATTTCATTTTTTTTAATGTAATTTATTATGCGACTTTATTTATTGTTGTTATGTATTTTATTCGTTGTTAGTTATATGACAACTGAATTTAATAATATGAATAAATTGTAAATATGATATCTTCCAAAAAAAATTGTAAATATGGTATTTTATTGATTACATATTAGGTTAAAATTTTTAATGTGATTTTTTTTTTTAATAATTTAAATCCTAAATCACTATTAGTTGTTTTTTTAAATAGAAATAATTAAAACATGTATACTATTTATCTTCTATTTCAATAGAATCACCTACTTCGTTCACACCCATATCTCTTTCATCTAATAAAAGTGGATAAATAAAACATGTTAGCAAAAAAAAAAAAAAAAAAAAAAATTATATAAAATTAACTGTTATAGTCTTATAAAATAAATCAATATATTTACTAGAAAGTGAAAAATTGTTGTGAAATTGATCTAAAAATTGTAATTGTACAAAATCAAATTTATGCATTGGAATTTTTTCATCGTCCCTAATCGCCCGAACGATAGTATTTTGGAAAATTAAATCGTTATTTTGTTGTCACTGATAATGCGTGCAATATTGCTTCTTATTTGTAACGAATGAAAAGTATTTAATTGAGTAAACTTTTCTTTCAATTAATTTTGGACGAATTGTACAAAGTTGGCTTTAATTGAGGCATGAACATAATCAAAATTAAGTTAATTTGATGACTTGATTAAGCTATCTAAATCACAAAAAATTTGTTCTAATCTTAAAATTAATTAATATAAACTACAAAGGTTTATAAGAAAATTTAATAAATGTAAACAATTTATAAAAATATAACACCTTCTCATCCAATAGGACCATTAGGCAAGAAACTCGTACTTTGATTTTCCAATCATTTTTGCTCGAATCTAATTCTCTGATTAAATCAAATCTGCGTGTAAAAACAAAATTCAGTAAACAAAACATAAACATATAATCATTAAGTATTCCAATTAAACACAATGTAAGCAATAATCACAAATATACATTTAAACATGGATTTTAAAAATTAAGCTAAGAATTACTCGGCCATTGATGACTAAAAAGTGACACAAAATTCGCTTGATTTGGTTTTGTGTTGATACGAAATTTTGTTGGTGTTGTAGGATGCGTCAATTTATAATGGTATGCATCACAAATCTTAATTTATTTATTATTAAGGAATAATTTTTATTTCTTATCATAAATACTATCAAGATTTATCTTAGATATATAAATCCTATATCTAAAGATGATTTTTTAAAAATAATTTTTAGTTTTTAAAAGAAATTAAATCCTAATAAATCACTATTGGTTGTTTTAACTACGTGGCAAAATTCTTAAATCTCATTTGTCACTTTTTCTTAGGTGGCGAGTGAATTTATTCATTCTAAAATAAAATACAAAACTAATTTTTAATTGGTCGAAATAATACCTTTGCTTATGTGGCACGCTAAATGCTCTCGAAAAATGCCTACTTTATTTATGTATATTAGATTATGTTTAATTTGAATATTTTTTTTTCTCACATTGTAAATAGCGTCAATTTAGAAACCACTTGTATAGTCGTATGTTAAAATAATACAACTGTTGAGAAATGGAGGAATTCATCATATTGATAAGCGTCGAATAGCTGTGTCAAAAAAAAAAAAAAAAAAAAGTTTGTGATGGATCGGTGAATAATATTCACTTGCATTCTAAGGTGTAAAACAAAGAAAGAATGTTCTCCAATTGCTGATGGATGATGTCAAGAGCATTTTGGATTCTTTTTCGGCCTTCAAATCTCAGCATATCTAAGGAAATTGGGTAGCAAATTATGTTGCCTCTCTTAGATATTTCACTTCGACGCATCAAGATATAGACCCTTTTATGAATAGCAAATTTTCTTTTTTTTTTACCTTTAGATAGATTAGGATACAAGGTTGCGAGAAGACGATCCTAATCTCCTCCATGTATCTTACATCATATTAAAAAAAAAAAAAATCAAAGAAAGAATGTATTGTTATGCAACATCCATTAAACTATAAGATAAAATTTTTAATGTTAGTAATTCTTAACTAATTTGTTAGTTGTTTATGATGTAAAAGAAAATATTTATAAAAGTGAGTAATAATAAAAGAGTTATATATCTCTACTTCCTCCATTCCTAATTGTTTAATTACTCCATGTCGATTTCCTACTTTATTAAGTTTTGATTGAGTGAATTGATAAGAGAGAAAATTAGTGGAAGATAAGGCAATTTTTAAGAGATATCCTTATATGGAAAATAAGAAAAATAAATAGGAACAAAAGGTGTATATCATGTGTGTTTGAACTTATTCTTTCTTTTGCTTCTTTATTCATGTTTCTATTGTATGTAATAACATGAAAAAATGAGCATGTGAGTTTGTGACCTTTGTGTCCCCCAAGCCCAAGCCCAAGCCCAACATGATTTTGAAATTCATAATCAATTTGAACTGTTTCATCTAGCCTCAAGGCCCTTTGTTTTTTTTTTTTTTTTTTTTTTAGATGATACTTCGTTCTGTAGACATTAAAAGTAGGTCCAAGGTAAAAAGTGTCTCCCCATTTAGCATCCTATGATGAACTACCATTCTTGATAATATATGATGATCCCGCGATCGAGTGATAATGTTGCTAAGTTCCAATACTTTTCCGAACGTGCCTAAAGCTAATGAAAAATTCACTATGAGGCAAATAAAAGGAGATGAAGAGCGTATACCTCATACAACCATTATTCTAATGAATAAGAATGAAACAAACCTTGGTCAAGGTTACAAGAAAAACTCATTCGGACGACGATCTAATATAACATGGGTGCGTCAAAATAAACTTAGTATATGTATGTCGTACTTGCTTCATTAATTTTTTATAATTCATAGTGATTTTAATTAAAAGTACACTGACAATCTAATAATTGATTATTTATCTAAATATAGTGATCAGAATTCAAACTTTGATGTATCCCACATGCTTCATATTAGACACTTTAGTAATAGTCTTAATATCATATGCAATCCAACACCTTGAAGTTTCTTGATGGTAGAAATATCCCAAACACTTGCAATCTTTAGTACATTTCATCCCACAAGCATCAATTGTCATAGGACCATCACCTTTAGTAAACTTGCTTAAGAAATGTTCAACACCTTCAAGTTTATAGTAATTTTTACTACCACAACTTGGCTTTGGTTGCTCACACTTCTTGCTCCATCCTAGTAGCCCTTTGGGTGTAGGGCATGCCACACATTGGCTATCCTCATCACATAACCCAAATTTTCCACACTTTTCGGGCAATTGGCACTCGGTCTCCCATAGCCCATACTGCGAGGTCCTAGCAAACAATGTAAAAGTCACTTCCCAAGCGGCCCAATCTACCTTATCTGAGTAAGTGTACACCCTTAAATTCCCGTCAATTCCAACCCTTAACATGGACAATGTGCTATTATATTTCGGCCTTGCAATCTCTGCGGTACCTCCAATTGATCCATCTACACTTTGATATGCAAACGTTATATCATAAGCATAGTTGTCATCATTTTCAGGGGAGCAACTAAACGTTACTTCTTTAAGGGAGCTTTTGGCAAGATCTAGCATACTAAAGTACAAAAGTGGTTTTGGGCTATTTGGGCTTTTATAGTACATTGTTAGTACCCTTGGTTCCATGACAAAAGTATAAGGACCATTAGAATTAACTTCAGCCGAGGCCCGACTTACGAGCTTAGTAGGCCCACCAAGTCGAAGAGATTGGCCCACTAAGAGAGTATCAGTAGGAAAATCAAAACTTTGCCAAATAAATTTACCCTTAACATCATGTAACACCATGTTACCATTGGGAAGTAACTTGAACCCTACGACACCCTTGTTGGCTGTATTGGTTTGCCAAGCGATCCGGCCATCGGCGTTAGCCAATATGAGGTTGCCATCTGTCCCGAGGGAGAATGTCGCGTTTTCACCAACCGGGTTGCCTCGATTCGCCTCCCAAACCCATCGGAAAAGTGACTCAGACCGAACCAAACCGATACGTAGGGCAAGGGTGTATGCATTTGCTGAAGTGTTGTAAAAACATAGTTGAAATGGGCTAGAAAATATGTCTAGGGCACGGTAATTACCGTCGTATTCAACAATGTAATCGCCGAAATCACCTTGGTTGACATGCTTGAATGTAGAAGAGGGAGGAACTTGAGCTTGAGATAAGGATAGTATGAGAAGAAGAGAAAGAATTAGTAACAAAGATGTGAAAAGAGTAGACATTTGTTTTTTTTTTTTTTGTTATTGTATAAGAAAGACCATATCTTAGTGTATGAATTTATAGACAATAATGTCAAGTGGACACACCTATATTAGCTAGTCATCATTGATGAAGAGCTGGACGACAATTTCTTTGTTATAAGCTGGTCAGTAATGACAAAATAATTTTTTAAAAATTCAATTAGTTATATTATGTTGTGTTAGCAACTTGGTTACTCGCGTGGAGTACATAGTATAAACTACCTCTGTTTCCTCTTAATCCTAACAAGTTGACTTTTATATTTTTATGCTATTCATCGGTTACCTTCAATTGCATCTTTTTTTCTAATTAATAATATATAAAAATGGAGTATTATTTTATTATACAGTAAAATTTTCAATAGTGTAAATAAAGACAGTAATAATAAAAGTTATATATTAATAAACGTGAAAGTCAAAGTGTTATGATTAATCTGAAATGAAGAAAGCATAAAGATATTCTTAACTTTAATATCACATTGATAAGAAAATTCTCATCTTAAGCATACTCACATGTAGGGGTGTACAAAAACTGGACCGGACCTGAAACCGGACCTGAACCGACCTGATCCGGACCGGACCTGACCCGGACCTGTTGATTCAGGTCCGGTCCCGGTCCTTAAAAATCAAGGTTCCCGGTTCCGGTCCGGACCCGGTCTAAACCCGGGGTTTTCAGGTCCGGACCTGAAACCCGGAAAAATTGTATTTTTAAAAAAAAAAAAAAAAATTCAAAAATCAAAATTACGCTGCAACCCTAACAAACAGCTATCTGACTATCTCCATTCTCCAAGACTCCAATCTCCAAACTCCCTGGCTGTCTCCCCCTCTCCCTCACGCTCACTGTCTCCAGTCTCAGCCCAACGCGGCAACGCCCACCGCCGACACCTCCTGCCTTCCTCACTCTCTCAGGCGAAGCCCCTTGCCCTCCCCCTCGAAACCCCTAACATTCACTCCTCCCTTGAAAACCCCTAACATTCACGCCGGTAAGTTATTTTTGGGGTTTTTGGTGGTGAGATTCTAGAGCTTATCTTGAGATCTTGCTGGGCAACAAAAAAAGGAGAACTTTTTGAGCAGCAGAATAGCGAAGAACACCGAAGGAGGCTTGGTTGGGTTGTTCTCTGGGCTAGCGAAGCTGCTGCAAAGTAGCAGAGCAGCGGCGGTAAAGCAGTGCAGCAGCGGTGAAGCGAAGCAGCGGACGGAGAAGTCGAGGTGACTTAGCTGTGTTCTGTAATCCTTCATTTTCTACGGGAATTCAGAGGCTCTGCTTTGATTTTTCTGGGCTGGCAGAACAACGGATCTGTGAAGAAAACCACCTAAGTGAAACAGCAGCAGCGGTGAAGCCGTTTAGTTGGAGTGTCGTTCGTGGTTGCTCTTTCATTGATTTGGTATTCTGAATTTAATTGATTATTTACAACTTTTGCATGTAGAATTTCAATTAATGAGTACTTTGCTAAATTATCTAATTATGTTTGGGTATTTTGTATTCGAAATAATGAATTAAGGTTTTTTATTAAAAAAAAAAAAACGAAAAAATCACAAAACAGGTCAATTCAGGTCCAAACCTGGACCGGACCTGATTTTTCAGGTCTAGCCCGGAACCGGACCTGTTAATTCAGGTCCGGTCCCCGGTCCTCATAATTACCCAATTCAGGTCCCCGGTCCAAACAGGTCCGGTCCAGGTCCGGTCCGGTTTTGGACCGGTGTACACCCCTACTCACATGACAACATTTGAACCCTTAATTCAACAGTCGATCTATCGTAAAGATATTTGAACCCTGAATTCATAAATCAAACTTTATTTGATATTAATGATATCATATAGTATGTGAGCTAGTCCAAGACGTAAATACTAGATATGTGAAACTAATCCGTAGTTTAGTTTACTAATACTTGCTTAATTTAAATGGTATAAATGGATATTTGGATATGCTCAAAATTGTGATTCAATAATTGTAAGTGGTCCACCGACAAGCAACTGGTATATCCTAAAAATCTGTTTTGAGTCGCCATCCAATATTGACATTAGTCATCATAATCAGTTTCCAATATTGACTGATATTTATGACTCGGTGGTGTCCATGGGAATATAAAACAAGAGCATGATTTTTTTAATTTGTACTAGATTGCAAATGGATTTCTAGTTACTTTTAAATTTTTTTTTCTTTTTTTTTTTTTAAGGAGCAAAAGAGCAAATTAAGGTAAATAAATAAAATGATGATTTGATTTTGTTTAAACACTAATAAAAACATGGATTAGGATTTGTCAAAAACCAAAACAAAACAAAAATGAGCAATATAGAATTTTATTTTTTTTGGGGAGGTTGGTAAGGAGAAGGGCCAGCCCTACCAGGTCGGAACCTCTCATAGGTAGGTCCTTCCGGCCAAGTTAGCGGGCTAAGCACTTTAAAAGTGGGAGAAAGGGTAAGAAATCCTGACAGAGAGATAAATTCAGTCGTTGGACGAACACCCTAAAGCCAAACATTATTTCTACCTAAAGTAACCTAAGACAAGTCTAGGACAAATAATTAGGATCGTATTCACTAGCAATGGGTATAAGTACACCAATAATATGAAACGGTGGAATCTAGTTCGGTAACAAGATTGGGGTTTTAATTAATTAACTACTATGGAGACAAACACTAGGAGGGGAGGAATGGGAATCGACATCAACCCAAACCAATAGATCAATACAATACACAAACATGAACACAAATTGGGTGATAGAAAGGGCACTCAACATTGTCTTCTTTCGAAGCCACAACACTATGCATTCCTAAACCAAACTCAACTAACATGATAGGCTAACCAATTTTTGGACCGGACCGGACCGAAGAAATAAATTTCTCGACCCAGAGACCAGATCGATTAATTTGGTTCGGTCTGGATCGGTCTTGTCCATTTTTCGGTCTGGGCCAATTTTTGAACACCCCTAACTAAGATTACAACATCATCTAAACAAGGAACTGTAATCAAGTTAGAAATTCAGTATAATCATACAAGAAATGGCTCACAATTGACCTCATCTTTCAATGCAAGCATAGAAGTGAATACATGAGCAATAAGTGGCAATCTAATTACACACGCAATTAACCAATCCTTTAATAATCAATGATCAACCCACAGTGAACATGCAGGCATAAATATTAATCAACTCATGGTTTGGTTGGATCTTCACCCAACCCCTAGCTAAGAAAATACTCACTAATCATGGTGTTCAACATTCTAACAACAATATCTATGTTCAACATTAATCTAACAAATTGAGAGGAGTAATAAGAACCAAGTAGATTGAACATGCAACAACACATTTACAAGATTTAGAGAAGAAATTAACAATTCAAAGCAAGTAATAAAAACAGTTAATAAGAGAGATAGAGGAAAGAGATTACTAATGAAGCTTCAAAGTTGAGAAATGCTTGAAATCAAGAACACAAACTTCTATTAATCTACTATAATGATTGAGTTTTGAGAGAATCTAAGCTAATTTATGAGAGTTCTAAGAACTAACTAAGAGACAAGGGCCTAAGGAAGCTAAAGGGAAAGAAGATCTGTAAATATGAGGCCGCCAAAGGTCGTGTTTATACTCCCAAAGAGTTGCATAGGAAAGTCCGTCCAAAAATCGAGCTTCAGATAATTAAGGATGCGCAGACGCAAAGTGGTGGGGGTGTGCGGATGCGCAATGGTCGAAATAGGCCTTCCAAGCTCATTGCGCGAACACGTTATATAAATCTTGCGCGGAAGCGCAAAGCTCAAATCTGCATTTCTGGAGGGCTTTCGCGCGTACGAGCTATATAAATCTTGTGCGGACGCACAAAGCTTAAATCTACATTTCTGGAGGGCTTTTGCGCGGCACGCTATATGAAAGTTGTGCGTCCACGCAAACACTACTGCCTTGCTTCAAAACTGCTATTTGGGCAAAGCAAATGCGCGGAAGCCTTTGTTTATATGAGCGCGAACGCACATAGTGTTGCAAAGCCTCAGAATTGCACCTCAAGTGTACCAATACTCCTCTAATCACCTCATAAGTGTCTCGTCTCTTCATTACTACACAACAAAGGCAAGAGGAACACAACAAAATAGTACAAGAGCACAAAAAAAACCACAAGATTAGTGATTTAGAGGTAGTGAGGCATAAATGGGAGAAAAGGTGGAAAATATTAGTTTTAGAGCTCAAATGATCCCAAAAATAAGCCAAAGGAGAGGGGACATGAGTGACATAAATGTCACTCATCAAATTCCCTCAAGCTAGAGTAATTGCTTTTCCTTAAGCTCTTTACCTTAACAAGGAAAAATCCAATAAGCACATGTAAAGATAAAAGATTCCTTAAGTAATAAAATTCGGGCATGAGGTATATGCCAAAGATCAACCACGGTCATGACTAGCCAAGGCCTAGCTAATGTCCGTAAAAGCACTCAACTTTGGTCCATTCAACCAATCTACCACGTTCCCAACACCAAGTTCAAATTCCCCCTAATGGTAGTATCTTATGCCTCCTCGAAGGAGCCAAAAGAAAATAGATAAGGAGGGTTTAAACACTCGACATCTCAATGAAAAGTACCTGACGTAGGGTGAAGTAGGTCGTTGACTAATCCTCCCTAAAGCCAAATAAAATTTATAATCACTTAACAAACCTAAATACAAGTATAGAGGTAAGTTAAGGGTTGAATCACTAGGAAGGGTTATGTTCAAGTGCTTTCAATGTGCGCCTAAGCTAGGTCGAAGTCAAAGGTGAAAAGGTGACACTAATCAACTACCAAAACAAAAAATCAAATAAATGAAACACTAGGAAATGGAGATCAACAAGTAATCATGACAATTGCAAAAACTTGGGAAGGTTAAGCCAATCAATGGTTGTGAAGACTAATGATAAGAACTATCAATTAGAATCAAATAACTATCTCCTAATCGTTAAGCTAGGTTTCCTCTATGAATAACAAACTAGGAGAATCACAATTCAAATTAATCAACAATTGCAAATCCTAAATCAAGTGGTCATGTAATTAGGATCTACAATGCAATCTAGCGTAGTTCTCAATGCCTAATCAAACTAAGCACATGCAAACTTCCATTAATCAATTTAATCTCAACAATCAATCAACATAATTCCCAAATTAATCACAATCAATTAATCATACATGTTTTACCCAAACCCTAGAAAAGCAACTACTCACTAACAATCATCATCAAATCAAGGCAATTAAATGAAATCAAGAATCAACAAATATTTAAGAACAACTACACT